TTTTATTTATTTGACAGAGACACAGCGAGAGAGGGAACACAAGCAGGGGGAGTGGGAGAGGGAGAAGCAGGCTCCCCGCAGAGCAGGGAGCCCGATGCGGGGCTCGATCCCGAGCCGAAGGCAGACGCTTCACGACTGAGCCACCCAGACGCCCCTAGAAATCCTTTTTAGTAAAAAAGAAATGAGACCATGAACCAACTTTTTATTTATAACGGAATGCTTCACGAATTAGCTTGTCATCTTTACGCAGGACTCATGCTAATCTTCTCTGTATCGTTCCAGTTTTAGTATATGTGCTGCCGAAGCCAGCACCACGAGCCAGCTTTTAAACCTGTCCTACACTTGTTTCAAGTGATAGAAACTTCAGCATGTCTGGAACTTTGTAATCTGGGGTTGTCTCACCTTCTGGTCTCCAGTGTCAAAAATCCTAATATAGGGTACAGGTTAAGTAAGCATGGCTTTTGTGTCCTAGAGGTTGGGAAGGCGTTTCTCCCTTGGCTGTCACTAAGTTTTAACTAAGAATGTAAAATTTGTTCACACTCTTAGGTTTATTAATTTTGTGAAAAACTACGAGAATCCAAATCTGACCATTTCTTTCACTACTGAGCGAAGTGTTGAGGATGAACTGAATCGTGAAAGTAACGGCGATGTCTTCACTGTCCTCATCAGCTATGCTGTCATGTTTCTGTACATTTCCATAGCCTTGGGCCACATCAAAAGCTGTAGCAGGTTTCTAGTAAGTGGTGTGTGTGTGTGTGTTGGAGAGAAGGGACAGCGCGCAGCATGATATCCTGTGTTTGCCTCTGCTTCTTTGGGGGGCGGGGTGGGTAGAAGGGCAGAGGGAGAGAGAAAAAGAAAATCCTGAGCAGGGTCCACGCCCAGCTGGAGCCTGACACTCGATCTCATGACCCTGAGGTCATGACCTGAGCCGAAATCAAGAGTCAGATGCTTAACCAACTGAGCCACCCAGGCGCCCCTGCCTCTACTCAGTTAACCCTAAATCATTAGGTTCAAAACTGGTTCACATTCCCCCGTTTTCATTGTATGTAGTATTTTCTATTTTCTGCATGTGTTTTCTTCAGTTCCAAATTTCGGGTTTATTTTAAACTTAGAATTTATTCCCCACAATCCAGTTTTTCCTAATTTGGCTACACCATCACCTAAGAATTGAAGCCCGTAAAACTTGTTGCCAGGGAAGACCTAGAACATTTTTCATATCTTTTCTCAAACTCGGAGAGGACTTTGAACTCCAAATCGGCTGTACCCAAAAAGAGGTAAAATGAGGACCTTTTAGTCATAAGAGAGATTACAGTCTGACGATTTGTCTTTGTTGCATGTCTTAGGTGGATTCTAAAATCTCCCTTGGTATCGCCGGGATCCTCATTGTGTTGAGCTCAGTGGCGTGCTCATTGGGCATCTTCAGTTACGTTGGGATCCCCCTCACCCTCATTGTGATCGAAGTCATCCCATTCCTGGTGCTGGCTGTCGGTGTGGACAACATCTTCATTTTGGTCCAGACCTACCAGGTATGTTTCCATAGTCTCACAGAGCTTGCCGTCGGACCAAGTAGTGGGCTCCATTAATGGCTGTTCCGCTCCATGCAGAGTACTCGTGAGTGTGGACGGTGAGACAGCTTTGTTTCCTGTTCTCTGTGTTGCTGATTGGTGTCCATAACTTGTTCGGGACATTTTGAGACCAAGAAGTTCATCCTTCTCTTTGGGGAAATAGGTATAAAGTGAGAATTGCGTTTTAAAGATTTTTTTTTTTTTTTAATGAGAGAGAGAGAGACTGAGAGTGTGCACGGACAATCAGGCTCCATGCTGAGCACAAAGCACAAAGCCCAACTCGACTCGATCCCAGGACCCTGAGATCATGACCTGAGCTGAAACCAGGAGTCAGACACTTAACTGACTGAACCACCCAGGTGCCCTGAGAATTCAGTTTTAAGTATGTGTGCAAGAAGGGCTTGCGTGCTTGTGAAAAATATTTTGGATACAACTGTTATTAAAATGAGTCTCCAATAGTGTAGAAGAATCAAAGATTTGTCAGAGATGCCACTAAAAAGATAGGGCAGCATAGGACCTGCTGATGTAGAAAATGGTCTCAGTCATGATTTTTTCTCTCCTGGTGGCCTTACTTGGAGACTCAATGGCACAGAAGAGTGTCACTTAATGGTCCAGCCACCTGCAGCCTGCGTTCTGTGTATTTTCCTGATAAGATGATCCAGTCTTCCCTTGAGCGTCTCACCTGTTACCTAGCTCCGGGGCTTAGTGATTACCCTGGATGGATTATCATGACAAGTTTTGGTCCCACATCAAAGTTTATCTACAATAGGTAGAAGCTCCTAATCATTTTTCATTATCATTGAGTTAACACAAAGCAACAAAGAAGCAAAGAGATGGCATTGTTGTTTAGAAATGTTAATGGCCCGGGGCGCCTGGGTGACTCAGTCATTAAGCATCTGCCTTTCCGCTCAGGTCATGATCCCAGGGTCCTGGTGCTCGGCGGGAAGCCTGCTTCTCCTCCTTCCTCTCCCCCTGCTTGTGTTCCCTCTCTCACTGTGTCTCTCTCTGTCAAATAAATAAATAAAATCTTAAAAAAAAAAAAAAAAAAAGAAATGTTAATGGCCCGTGTTTTGTTTTTTGTTTTTTTAAGCGCGATGAACGTCTTCAAGGAGAAACTCTGGATCAACAGCTGGGCAGGGTCCTAGGAGAAGTGGCTCCTAGTATGTTCCTGTCATCCTTTTCAGAGGCTGTAGCGTTTTTCTTAGGTAATTACTCTGAAGTCTACCAATCCCACCGTTTTCTGAGCCTGGGGGTAGAAGGATCTGGGTATCTGAATATGTCCCTTTGTGTTGCTTCCTTGTTTAAGCTTTGATCTGTAATCAGAAAATATCAGAGTGGACCACAAGAAAAATTAGTGGCAGTATCTTGGGTATCATTTTGGAAGTGTCCTCTTTTTTTTTAGAGGGGGTAGGGGCAGAGGGAGAGAGACTCTTAAGCAGGCTCCACGCCCAGCGCAGAGCCTGATGCGGCACCCCATCTCACGACCCTGAGATCATGACCTGAGCTGAAATCAGGAGTCGGCTGCCCGACTGACTGAGCCACCCAGCGGCCCTCGTCTTTCTCATGTTGTTCATGACAGTGTGGATGTTGGGGTCCGGGCTGACAGATACCCTAGAACTCCTCTGCTGCTTTCCCTTTTTGGCACCCGTGGCAAATGTGGATCTTTGAAAACGGCATTCCCACATCCCCACAGGAGCCTTGCCAACACCCCACTCTGAGTGAAATCCACAGGCATAGACAGTCTTTCTCGGTCCACACAAATCATCGGGGAAGCAACCTCATTAACGAGCCAAGGTCATTGGACCTCACCTCACTGCAAGGAGCCAGAATAAGCTGGAACAAAAGCCAGCGCTTCCTGTCTTTCTTTCTTCTGGAGAAGTCACCATGCAGCCTCACTAGCAGGGCTGTCTGCCCCCGTCTGCTGTGTGGGAACAGTAGGACGAGAAAACCGAGTGCGTCTTCTGAGCAGGAGGCTGGATGAGAAATGCCATCATTCCGCCTGGGCCACGGGTGGAAACGCCTCCGTGGGCTGCCGGCTCCTGTCACCCGGGGCTGCTCGTCGGAGGCGGCGGGCTTTCAGAACAGACGCATGCCAGGGTGCAGGTCCTCCTTTCCACAAAGCAGCGCACTTTCACCTGTGGTCCTTACACTTCCTTTTGATGGATACAGGCGCAGAAAAAGTTATTTTCTCTTGTTTTCTCATCAGAAAATGTGGTGGTAGTAGCAACCAATACTGTGTCTCAAGACTGGAATGATTCTGAATGGGGACAGGAGGAGCAGGGGGCCCAGGTCTACAAAAGGCAGTTACGTGTTGCTGGCCTGGTGCTGCTAGGTTCAGTTTCTTTCTTTCTTTTTTTTTTTTTTTTAAATTTTTTTTTTTTTTTTTTTTTTTTTTTTTAAATTTTTGTTTGTTTTATTTATTTATTCATGAGAGTCAGAGAGAGAGAGAGAGGCAGCGGCAGAGGGAGAAGCAGGCTCCCTGCCGAGCAGGGAGCCCGATGTGGGACTCGATCCCAGGACCCTGGGATCGTGACCTGAGCCGAAGGCAGACCCTTAACCATCTGAGCCACCCAGGTGTCCCTCTTTTTTTTTTTTTTTAAGTGAAGCTGTGAATCTAGATTTTTGTGTCGAGTCTCGCTGTTAAGTATTGGCTACTTTTTTTAAAAGACTTTTATTTATTTAAAGAGAGAACGAGTGGTAGGGAGCGGCAGAGGGGGGTAGAGAGAGAGAAGCAGACTCCTCGCTGAGGAGGCAGCCCGACGCAGGGCTTGATCCCGGGACTCCTGGATCATGACCTGAGCCAAAGGCAGCTGCTTAACCAACTGAGCCACCCAGGTGCCCTAATATTGGCTACTTTTTTTAAGAAATGTTTTTTCATCCTAAATGTGGACCATACAGGATACATCTGGCCTGTGGGCTGCTAGTTTGCAGTTTCTGGGTGTTAACCCAGTACTTCTGACTAGGAGCACCCTCATCTGATTGTAACGGAAGTGGGAGACTAATATTGTTGATCTAATAGCAGATGGAAAATACTGCTCTCCAGAGCAAAGCATAGAAGGTGCGAGAAGAAATGACTGATACTGATGGTGCCGAAAGTTCAACATGCATAGATTTGTCTGGAGAGCCTGTTATATACAGTTGAATTGGGTGTGAATTCCCACTGTTCTGATTAAGTAGGCTAAGGGGAGAGCTCAGGAACCTACGTTTTTACCTCCCCAAGTGGTTCCGATGCTTGATACCATTTTGCAAAACACCGGGTGTATGGGCTCTTTGAGTTCTGGTGTGACACCCCCAGACTTGGGCGGCATGCCTCTGGGGGGTGTGGGAAGCGCGGGTCTTCTCGTGGCTTCGGTCCGTCCTGGCTCCTCGTGTTGCTGTGTACACGTGAGTGTAAGACTTGCACAGGGTCTCCTGCTGTACGTGGAAGTGACCAGGCAGCTTCTCTCACCCTGCAGGAGCCTTGTCAAAGATGCCAGCCGTTCACACTTTCTCCCTGTTTGCCGGGATGGCCGTCCTCATTGACTTCCTGCTTCAGATTACCTGTTTCGTGAGTCTCTTGGGGTTAGACATTAAGCGTCAAGAGGTAAGTTGTTGTCAGGATGACAGTCTGTTTACAGTCTAGAATCGAAGTGAGGTAGCAGGAGGGTGTCTCCTTTGTTCCTCTTTGTCCTCTCAGAAAAATCGTCTGGACGTCCTTTGCTGTGTCAGAGGCTCTGAAGATGGAACTGGCATCCAGGCCTCAGAAAG